CTGAAGCCTTTCGGGGTCCCTGCCGAACGGCGATCGGACTTGGGATCTCAGCGCGAACGAGAAAACGAGAAACAGCTCCTCGAGCTGTTTCTCTCGTTTCTCTGGGGCGGACTTTCAATTGCCATGCGCTGTACTGATGTACCAGGCTCTCGGTTGCTTATGTCTTGCCTAATACGATATGTTTTGGCTTGTTGTGACGCGCTGTTGGACGCGCACCAAGTTGTGTTCTGGCACCCTTGCAACTACTGAGCTAGGGCAGGGCCAGTATAGTGACCCTGCTGATACTGCCACATACCATCCCAGTCCGCCATAGAATACAGCACGTGGGATGAGCACGAGCTATCTGACAGCTGTGGTGTCTAGCATGCGACGAGAAATCCGCCAGAAAATGCACGCTCAATAACTTCGGGTTTCTCCGTGTCGCCGCGTCGGCAGGAGGGGTGCCAGTGCGCCCGAGAAAATGAAAACGAGAAACGATATTGAGTTGGGCTAGTCAGACTGCGCAGGGCAGGGACTCCCGGTCGGATGCAAGATTCCCCGTATGCACAATCAATCCCAGCCTGATGATCATACAAATGGGGAAACCTATGTTTTTTGTTTCCAAGTAATACCCCTCGAGCACACTGGCGATGCTCGGACTCACGCGTCTCTGCGGAGGTGAGTCGCGACTCGCGAGCCGACTGAGGTCGATCGAAATTCGGGCCTTCCCGACGCGCCCGGGGTGGGGGTTTGCCAAGTCCCGCTGACACCGGGGCGTCGGCAATCAGTTGACGCGCCTGCCACTGATGGCGCCCATTTAAATTTGACTTTTGTTCCGTTCTTGTCTGGCGTTTCTGCGAAGCCGTGATTGGGTCTCCGAAATGAAAGATGGAGCGGCGCTTCTGTGATTGAGGCTCGCGCTCGGAGAACGATGCGAGCAGCGTGCGAGTCAACTGATCTCGGGCCTCGGGCAGTCTAGGTGCTCGAGTAACAAGCTCGTCGATAGTGTGGACGCGATACTGTCCGACTGCTGCATACGCCACTACGCCAAGCCACCAGGTGGACAACTGCCTTTGCCTTTGGAATTGAAGTCCAGCGTAGATACTGCACACACGGGCCAGGCGAGACATGTCAGACAACCTCCCACAAGAAAGAAAGCCCCTGCGCAAGCTGGACTTTGGATTCCTCCCGATCCCGCCTTACTTGCGGCATAATCCAGATGCACCCTTTGAACTCAGCATCCCGCACACTGTCATATTCGGATTCGCGAGTACCTTCAGTCAGACAGAGTCCTTTGTACTACAACAATCTTTGTATTCTGACATGAATGATTCTAGCTTGTCAGGATGCTTGTTAGTTCGATCAGTTTATCAAGGATCTAATCTCTTTCAATAGGTATGAATCTATACTACTGCCAACCAATACTTGGTGCGTAGCACAAGTAAAGGCCTAGTATGGGAGAAATAATGTCTCTCCAGTGCAACTCGCGGACGAGTTCAACGTCGACTACGTCGAGGTTTCACGAATCCCCAGCTTACTGCAAGCAGGGTAAGTCCAGTACTTTCATGTCTGATATAAGGACCTCACAACCTCTTCACCACCAACAGGTATGCAGTCGGATTGACCCTACTCTCTCCTCTGGGAGACCTGATTCGCCGCCGCCAGTTCCTCTTCCTCCTAATGATCGCATCCGCATCACTGAGCATCGGGCTCGCCATAACCCGCTCTCTCGTCGCGTTCGAGACCATATCGTTCTTCGTCGCCGTCTTCTCCGTCACGCCGCAGGTAAGACATATTAACATACTAATGTCACATCCAGTCCAACTGGCCCGACCTGACATATGACCCAGATCCTCATTCCCTTAACAGCAGAGCTCGCGCCGCCCCAGCGGCGCGCGTCGTCCATCGCGATTGTCCTCAGCGGGCTCCTCATGGGTGTCATGCTCGCGCGCGTGCTCTCCGGCATCATCGCCGAGTTCTCCAGCTACAAGAACATCTACTGGATGGGCGTCGGCGGTCAGTCCCCCCTCCCCCTTCCTCGTTTACACCCGCTCACATCGTACCCATCCTCCCCCTTGCCCCCGCGCAGGCCAGTACCTCCTGCTGCTAGTGCTGTACTTCGTGTGCCCGGACACGCCGCCGAAGAACCCGCAGCTGACGTATCTGCAAATTCTGTACACGATGGCCAAGTTCGCGGTGACGGAGCCGCTGCTCGTGCAGGGCGCAATCCTGTTCTTCGCGGACAGCGCGATATACAGCGCGTTCTGGGTTACGCTGACGTTCCTCCTCTCGGACGCCCCGTACCACTACAACACGTCAGTGTCCTCCCTGTCAACGTCTCTGTTGCTTGTTTTCGAGTGAAAAAGCTAATGCGAGAAATATAATATTGTATACGCGCAGGCTGGAGATCGGGCTGTTCGGGCTGGTGGGCATGTTCGGTATCGCGATGGCCCCGCTCGTGGGGCGCGCGATCGACCGCCTGCTCCCCTGGACGGCGACCCTCTTCTCGATCATCCTCATCATTGTGTCCATGGCCATCCAGACCGCCGCGGGGGGCATCAACATCGGCGCGGTCATTGTGGCGATATTCGGTACGGAACATACGCCTAAATCCCCCAGAATGTTTTTGCTAACGAAGAGATTCGATGACTTGGATCGTGGTGGGTAGTTCTCGATGTTGGGGCTGAGGGCCTGCAGGTGTCTGTCACGAACGTGGTGTTTGGGTATGTTTGCAAGTAGCCATCACGCGAAGCGGATGCTGAGGGATTCTTGTGTTTGTTGTGCCAGGATCAACCCAGAAGCGCGCGCGCGCCTCAATGCAGTGCTCATCCTATCGGTAAGCAGGATCTTCTCTCGCACATCCTCCCTCCCAACAACCAACCTAAATCTCACCTTCCCTTCTTCCTTTCCCATGTGAATATTAATCTCAGATCTTCCTCGTGAGTCTATCTCTCTTTGATCTTCCAGATACCCTCCAAAGTTAACCAAGCTACCTTTGCATAGGGCCAAGTAATGGGCACCGCAGTCGGCACGCGCGTGTTCGTCGAGGGCGGCTACCGCGCAACGGGCGGGTTCTGCGTCGCCCTCGGCGCGCTCAACCTCGCCGTGCACCTCCTGCGCGGCCCGCACGTCCCCGCGCGCGCGTGGCTCGGCTGGGCGGGCGGGTGGTCGCTCACCAAGACGGCGGCGGAGGAGCGACAGGAGAAGGCCATCGAGATGGCGGAGATGCCGAGCACGAGTCCTCAGCACGGGACGGCCGAGGTGGGCGGCGACGGGGGCCATGCGCGGATGTCGTGGGTGGTGAGGAAGGCGAGCTCGGTGTTTGGGGGGAAAGAGAAGAGGGGGTTGGAGGGGGTCCAGGAGGGCGGAGAGGATAAGGCGTAACATGAGCATTGATCGCACACAAGCAATTGGACTGTCATTTCGATGCAGCAGCTGGAATACAGAGGTTGAAAACCACTTGGCGAAGCGCACAGCGCATAACTCGTCTGTAAGTTTGCAATTGCGCGAGGAAGCCTTAAGGGTACCTTCGCCTGTTGCGTGATATGTACACCACAAATCTTATACTGTCTGACCTGTTTACTATTCAAGTTCATAGACTTGCGCTAGACAGTAAACTCAGAATTGCTGAAGGTACACCACAGTTGGTCAAATTCTGAGCGGGAGCTACCAGAGCGAAGAGCACGTAAAAGCACGTTCTTTATTTTACTGCACACTACCCCTACGGGGTTCTCAATTAAGTCGATATAAGGAGTACTAAGTAACACGCTCAAAGCCGGGCGACCGTCAAGGGCAAAGTGGGACCATCCGAGACTCTGCTCTCGACATAGGGCATCTGGATGTTGGCAAGGTGCCAGGTGATCTCCTCGTCGGAAAGCGAGAAACGGAAATGATCAATCAGCACCGAGATGATAAGTTCTACAATCATTCATTAGTATGGAGATACATAAACAAGGAATAGCGGCACATACTGATCTCCAGCTGGGCGAACTTATAGCCGATACAAGCTCGGCCTCCACCCAAGAAAGCCATGCTAGAGCAACGCTCAGTCAGTGCCCCCACCGCGGAATAACGGTGTGACACTCACGTTCCAGCGTAGATACCGGGCAAATGTGCCTCCGCTGCGCGCTTGGGGACGCCGTCTGTCCATCGCTCAGGCTTCCATTCCGCAGCGTCGTCTCCCCAAATTTCGGGATCACGGTCTGCAGCTGCGATGCCGATGATGACGTTCTGATTCTTCGCGACAGGGACCTCAGTGATCAGTTGCCCGTCAGTACCCCTGATGGGTCGGGACAAGGGCATGACAGAGTCTGCACGAGCACTGAAGGTTGTTTGATCAGATGAATGCTGGAAGTCGGGATAACGTAATAGCACGCACGTTCGGGACATGAAGGTTACCGGAGCCTCTCTGAAGCGAATAGATGAGCCACTGTGTGTCTTGTCGTGAGAGTCAATCGCTTACAATCTCAGAGTTTCACGGATGACGTTCTCGAGGAATGGAAGCTCGTTGAGCTCGTCATATGCAATGTCCCTGGTACTGTGCTCCTTCTCCCATTGGTCCTTGGCAGTTTTGATTTCTTGTCTCAGCTTCTCCTGGACGTCAGGATGTATGGCCAGGAAATGCAATATGTGAGCCAATGTTGAAGATGTCGTATCGTGGGAGGTAAAGACCAGCGTGCTAATTATATTTCTCATGAGACTTTGCGCGCAGGTGTGATCAAAAGACAGACGCACGTCATATGAGCAAGGACTTCGGAATCGGACATGCCGTCCTCCTCTGAGCTGTTCTCCAGAGCACGTACTGAGAAAGAAATAAGTTAAATGTCACTGTGAAAAAGACAACGACGTACACAATACGCTGACAATGTCCCTTCCTTGGCCGACCTGTTTGGAGACCTTCTCCTCGCCTTCCCTGAGCGCCTGTTTCTTCTCTTCAAGGACTTGCTTATTCGTCTTGTACATGCAGTCAACAATGTCCCGCAATTTGTGCAGGCGCCGACTAGGCGTCATATCCACCAGCTGTCTGCGGATCGACGGACTTGTGATAGACAGGATGGCCGGCAGCAGCATTTGACGCTCGATTTGTAGAGAGAAGATCGCCGGACTGCATACACTCAGCTAAGGAAGAAATACACATCACAGAGACGCGACGAAAACGTACATCAAGCCTCTCAAAGCGAGGCGGAAGGGTGAGTTACCGTCACCTTTCGATAAAGCCTCATAAGAGTGACCGAGACCGGCTTGGCCGATGCCCTCGAGAGCAGTACGCATCATGTAATCGAGCATGTCTACTTTCGCGGGACCTGATGCCGTGGACTCGGCGATTCTGTCTTTGAGCTATACACACCACATGAGTGCCAATCATACGCGATTCACCTAACGTGACTTACGAGGTGAATCACGTGATACAAGACGGGAGTGACATCGCGCATGTGGCTGGTCGAGAAGATGGGATTGAGGATGCGACGTTGCTGTTTGTGCTTAGCACCCCACGTGGAGAGGAGTCCATCGCCAAAGATTTGTTGGTTTCCACTGGAAATGCCTCGTTATTTCTGAAAGATGAAGAAGGAGCGGCGAAGGTCAGCTTACAGGACAAAGATATCGGTTTCTTCGAAGTTGTCGACTTCCTTGACACAGACGTGATGCAAGGCCTTGGGATCCGCAATGTAAAGTTGCTCATCCTACGTCCATACGTTCACGTTAGCCTGTAGACAACAGACCAAGGATCAAAAGACACCTACACCCCAAATACCATTGATTTTTGCGACGCCTCCATATTTCTGGTTCAGCTCATGATGCCATTTCATTCCGTACGGGTTGTAAAGTAGCCCGAGATGTCCAGTACGCCATGACTTGCTCGGCGGACCAGGCAGAGTCCGTAATGGCGACTTGACTACAGAGCGTCGGTACAGAAACCATGCAACCCTGGCGAGCGCTACGAGGGCGGCGAGGGTGAAGGCGGACAAGAACATGATGGACCACCGCAAGCTGAATTGAATGAGGCCAGCACCACCTTAAGATGTTGCGTCAGTTACTGTGGGGTTCAAGGAGCACTCGAGTCGGGCCGCTGAGGGGCGGCAGCGCTGTCCCGGGAGAAATAGCGCTTGTTCGAGGGATGGCGGGGAAGGTCGAGAGCCGTCCTTACAATCATTTCACTTGTAAATTTGCGCCATCAATCAAGGCACAAGACCCTTGTTTCGTTACGCCTTGGGTACGCCTCAATGGAGCTGATAGATGTAATCTGGAGTGAAATACGGAAGACTTTTGACGGCAAGCGTATCAGGGTGGAAACGACGGAATGCAGACCAAATCTGATGCAGTTCGTCGCCTCAAGAGATCTGAATCAAACTTAGCCGACCTAGGCCATCAGGAGTGTCGGTTTATGGCGTGCTGCGCGGTTCAATAACGAGCTTTCTCGGGAAATGCTAGATGCGTTAACCCTGTTCAAGGCAACGTTGAGTAGACTCGATATTCTGAGCATAGGGTGCTGCATTCAGCATCTATTCGGACATGGGGTAGTCTTCACTTCCATAGCCACCGAGTCAGATCGAGCCAAAAACATTCAGTACCGTATCGTTTCAGGCCAGCACTGCGCGCGGACGCGATGATCGCAGGTTCGGAATATCCAGTATCCATAACGAATTGTCTTTTCCATCTTGTGACAGAAGAGCGTATTATCTCCATCCACTTGGAACACTGCCTGATCCTTGGACTTCGGGGTGGTGTGACAAGTAAGTGTAGATCCCCCCCACGAAGCGCATGGGCGGTAGTGGAACGGAGGCATTTCATTATAATTTACAGTACCGCCGGCGTTGCCTGGCAGGGACCCCGAAGACCGCGGGATCTCGGTGCCGGTCATTTATCATACTGTCTCTCGGCCTCGACAGCTGAATCGGGCCGGTTTGAATCTTCTGAATCATGAGGCGCAATTTGTAGTGAGAACATTGTGAGCATTACCGTCATTACCGTGCCCGCGGACAAAGCTCGGGTGGCGTCGTTCACTGCCAAGGTTCGAGTCGTTTCTCTCGAGGTCGGGGAACGAAATTATTTCAAAGCAGAATCAGAATCAAAGACACTGGACGATGCTCGTGGGCTTGTCGCGGAAAGGCACGAACCAAGTTGCAATGAAACTAGAGATGTAAATCCATTGAAGCGAAATATACTACAAGTCGAATACATGATTTCTACGCCTTGAGGGCCTCCTGCACTAGCTCCTCTACACTCTGGATGAATACTTCAACGATACGCTGCACCTCGTCAGCCTTGACGTTGTAAGCAGGGGCAAACATGCAATGGTCGCCAACGGTGCCATCGAGGCTTCCGCCACCCGACATGCCCATGATCATGACACCCTTCTCGAAACAGCGCGCCTCGACGAGCGGCCCGAATTTCTTACCGCCGAAGTCCAACTTGGGAGCTCCTGCGGGAGCCACTTCAAACTCCACCGCCCAGAATCCGCCGGACCCACGAATGTCGAAAACATACGGGGCAACAACGCTACCGGAGCCAGTCAAACCGGACTTCAGCAGGTTTCCGAGCAGTGCTCCCTGCTTGCGGATATTTGCTATCAGGTTCTCGTCTTTCAATACCTTCTGAACGGCAAGGGAGGCGGCACAGCACAGAGGATGCGCCTAGAAATCGAAGAACTGAGTAAGACGCGGCATCCTTCCCGACAAACCTTGCCTCTTACCTGGTAAGTGTAGCCGTGCTGCCATATGCCGGTCTTACTGTGGAGGCCGTCGGCAACCTTTCGTGAAATCAGGACAGCCCCCATGGGGGTATAGCTGGAGGCAGAACATCAGCAGACGTAAGGTAAATCATGTATCGTTACTGACCCTGCGCCGAGGCCCTTCGCTACGGCCTGGATGTCTGGTGACACTCCATCGCCAAACGTCTGCCATGCGTGCATCGATCCGACGCCTGCAACCGAAATCCAAATTAGCAGATGGATGAGGATAGCAGATGACGACACTCACGCCCCATCCCGCTCATTACTTCATCGAGAACAAGCAAAGCACCGTACTTGTCGCAAACGGACTTGACAGCTTTGAAGTAGCCTTTCGGGGGAATCACCACTCCCGAGCTGGCGCCCACGACGGTCTCGGCGACGACTAAAGCGGATCATCGGACCCAAAGCCTAATCTCGAAGGGGATGCCTACTTACATGCAATGACCTTGTCGGGACCGAGCTCCAGAAATTTGGCTTCAAGCTCGTTCTTTAGGCGCTCAACGTACTGTTCCTCGGTCTCACCCGGCTGATGGAAGCGCTTATAGTACGCGGGGGAAACATGGTGGAACGTCTCGTGGTCCAGAATGGGTTCATATGGAGCACGACGAGCGGCGTTGAAAGCAGCCCCGAGAGTACCAAGAGATGCACCGTGGTAGGACACCTTTCTTCCGATGAACTTTGTACGTTGGGTCTGGCCCGTCTCGTAGAAGTACTGCAGAAGAGGTCAAACTACTATGTCAAGTACGAATTTCGCCTGATCTTACCTGTCTCGCCGTCTTTAGAGCACCTTCCATCGCCTCAGTGCCTGCAATGATGCGTGTGAGTACACCGGCACAACTGTCTATCTCCGAACGTACCTCCGGCGACGAAGCCTACGAGGGCGAAGGCCCCTTCGCTGTCATCAATGATTGTCTTCGCGAGCAATTCGACTGGCTCGTTAGTGAGCTGCTGATGGAAAGTGTCTATCACAATGTCAGGACATGGTCACATGACGTACGGAGAGTAGTAACACCTACAGGATAGCTTCCCAGCCTGCTCGCGGATCGCTTCGACAACTACGGGATGGCCACTGCCAATGCAGGCTACTGCTGCACCACCGACGGCATCGATGATGCGGCGACCGTCAGCTAGGTCGAAGTAGATGCCTTGCGCCCCGACAGCAAGAGGGGGTGTAATAGGCGTCTTGTGGAGTACGCAGGAGGCAACTGCAGACTTGGCCCCCGCAGGCTTGCCCTCTGAGGCGGACTTGGTCGTAGGAACCGGGGAGGCAACGCTGAGAGCAGGGGCCATGGCGAATGCAGTCTTGGAGTAACTGTGTAGTGACGATGGGACTTGGGTCGAAAAATACTTATGCAAGGTATACCTGAGAACGTACTGACGCCTGCCGGCAGCCCGGGCGACCCACCATTACCCCAATTGTTTGCGGCGGAAACAAAACACCGCTAAGCACGGTGCCATCAATCTGGCCAGACACTGCATGGACGGTCTGTCAACGAAACCACATCAGAATAATGGAGGACGGAGGTTAACTGGCATCATGACGATTTGGACGTAAATAGGACTGCCGGGATCTATCTCCATGACATGAATCTGGTCGATCTACTCCAGTCGCGTGTACAGCATTCGGCTGTTTGCGAGGCTATGGCACGCAAGGGCGCTCGGCGCCATCACATGGAGATAAGGATTCACGGTTATCAGGGAGGATCTTTCCCCATAGCCAGCCCTATTGGCGAACATTCCTTTTATGCGCATTGTACAACACGAACGAAAGCGAGCGAGGTGATGATCAAATCCCATTCCAATCTTCTGGGCTCGCCAGAAGCGAAGGAGCAACACATTGATTGTCACGGTCTTGCGAACCCATCGCATCAGTGGAAATGTGACGATATAGTGCATTGTGCAGAAAATAAGTTTGACAAACCGGTTTCAGGACAGGCTTCAGGGAAGCCCATCGAGGAGTGGCTCCGTCTCCAGGAGAAAGGAGCAAATATTACGAATTGACGCAATATCCGGTAAAGAAACAAGTACACGTATGTCTTCCTCGGAGGCAGCTTGAGTCCGCCTTGCCGACTGTTATACACTGGACGTGTACTTGCTTTGGTCTGTTACCTACTCCGAGGAAGTCAGAACGCTTAAACACACTTTACGCCTTCTGCATCCTTGTCCACCTAGCGCACAAGTATGCAGTTCATCACCGGTCCAAAGCTCAATGGTGCGGCTGCTTCGACGGGAGCGCTGTCTCCAGAAGTCATCGCCGTCTATCCGATGACGAAGGCGCAAGAGAGCCTTTGGCTCGCCTACTCAATGGCGCCTAACCATACGCTATACAACCTCAGTCTTAAGTTTGTATTCAACCAGACTGAGGCTGCATCTGACGGTCACGGCTTCACCCTGGAGAACATATCTAAAGGTCAGTCCTGCTCTCAGATCAAGCGCAATATTGGACTTACAAACAGGTTCTATAGCGATCCGCGACTTGACGCGTCGTCATGCCATCTTAAGGTCCACGTTCCACGGTGCAAACCAGTCGCAGGCCCGTCCCTTCGTAGCTGAACACAATCCGGACACTGCGACAGCGTCATTCCGGATTGTACCTAAACCGCGCGATGCTCGTGGTGAAGCCAAGGTCCTTGGTTTGCTCCGGACCGCTGTGAACCTGTCGCAGGAATTTGCCAGCCGCTGGCTAGCAGTCGTCTCGGACCGTGAGATCGAACTGTACTTGGTCGCGCACCACATCGCGCTTGATGGAACGAGCATGAGCTCCATCTCTGCGGAGCTATTCAAGTTGCTTTCAGGCTCCCCGGCAACGCCTGCAGAGCAGCCGTTCTGTCAGGCGCATATGTATGAGGTGATTACTTACATTGTACGGCGATTTTCCAGCCGGCGAATACTAACACCCTTCAAGGCAGCGTTCTCCGCTTCCCCGGAATATCAGGCGGCGGAAAGGTTCTGGCTAGACCAGGTCATGCACGTACGACCATACAAATGGATAACCAACCCTTCCAGTCGTCCGGCCCCAAGCAAGAGCTACCGGGAGATCCAAACTTGGTTTGATTTCTCGAAGGATGTAAGCCAAACTCCGTTTCTTTCGCAAAGTCAACTGTTTCCTGACATCAGGGAAAGGATCTTGCAGCTTGGGGTAGCAAGTACCGTACATCCTGGTTCCGCGTAGCAGTCGCTATGGTCGGGCTTCTTACTCGCGCCCACACAGAACCAGATTATGGAGCGGATCAAACAGTTACTGTCGCTTTCGGCGGCCGGCCGGCCGGTCTGGAGAAGTCCATCGGCCACTTTGCGAATGCCATGCCGATCCGCATTCCTTTTACGGAAGCTTCCCGGAAGACGTCCGGCGCTGCACAGGTATCCTTTGATAACCTGGTGAAGCTTGTGTCGAAGCAGATATCCACTGCGAAGAAGCACGAACGTTATTCGATTCTTGATCTCTCTCGTGCGAGAGCTTCGCGTGGGCTGGAGACTCCCCGGGCTCAAGTTGCCGTAACACTCTCTCCCAAGCTCTCCCACAAGGAATGTACCTTGTACCCAGTTGAAGGTCCTTATGACCTGTTCTTCTGTTTCCTCGAAGGGGACGACAACGTTACACTCGGGGTATGTACTACACGAAGATCGTCTCTGGACAGATGCAGTACTCACTTTGCCGCATTAGGTTATTTATGACCCGATAATCTTCTCGACCGCTGATGTGGCACGGCTCAAGGACGAGTTTTCGTCACTACGTGAGCGGTCCATGACTGACCCAAGTTTCGGCGTATCCGGAATTTCTGGCGTCCAAAGTCATCTCCCGCGTTTACTTCCGGAACTCGACTTGTCCAACGTGGATGAGATCAGCGCTGCGCGCTTCCACGCGTGGTTTGAGCAGCAAGCTCTCGCTCACCCTAACCTCGTCGCACTGCACTCTGCGGAGCGTAATCTCTCCGTGACGTATAAGGAACTCAATGAGAGATCCAATCGCCTGGGGCATTGTGAGTTTAATGCTTTATCTCATTGACGTCCGAGAGCTTATCTCTCCCTATCAGATCTTCGTGAGATAGGCATTAGTCGCGGAAGCTTGGTGCTTCTGTACCTTGAGCATGGCCCTGCCGTTATGGAATGGATAATCGCCGTTTTGAAGGCCGGCGCAGCATACGCTGTCGCAGATCAGAGTAACCCCCCGGAGCGCATCCGCTCTATCGTCTCAGTTGCTGAGCCTGTACTGGTTATTCACGACCAGAAGGGCGAAGCTATCCGCGAGATTATACAGGAGTCTCCGGTTAAGACGCTTGATATAAGGACCGTCCAGATCGAAAAATTCTCCTCAGAGTCTTTAGAGGAAGTCACGCAGAACACCGATCTAGCGTACATCGTCTTCACTTCTGGCAGTACAGGTGAGGAAGGCTCCTCACGTTCTTTATTGCGCTGGCTCCCTGATCATATGATAGGTCAACCGAAGGGAGTCGAGATTGAACATCGAAATCTGTCCCACTTCGTCGCGAATGCGTTTACCTCGAACTACACCACCATCGGTCCTGGTACCCGAGTTCTCCAGCTCGCGACCTTCGCATTTGACGCTGCAGTGCTCGAATGGTCCCAGTGCCTCTCCCTCGGCGGCACGCTTTGTTTCGCCGATGTGCCGAAGGCGCTAGTAGGAGATTATCTCGCAGATGTCATCGACCTGAACGAGGTATCGTTCATGCACCTCACACCGAGCGTTCTCGCTACCCTTCCAACCTCAAGACCGCTCCCTTCGTTGCGCCAGATCTCCGTTGGAGGTGAAATGGTGCCGGATAATCTTATCAAGAAGTGGCGATCGCGGGTCCAGGTAGTCAATGCCTATGGACCAACCGAGTGGTACGTTACTAGCTCTACTAGCAATATGACGTTGTACGCATAACTGTACTGTCCTAGCACTGTCGTGATGGCTCATCAACCACAGCCGATCGCATCGGACGCCCCACAACCAGCCGCAAACATCATTGGCGCAGCACACCAACACATGAAGTTCTACGTCAGCAACGATGCCTTTACTCGCCTATTGCCAGCTGGAGAGGTAGGAGAGGTATGCATCGGAGGTCCGCAGGTTGGAAGAGGGTCTGTGTTTGCTTCAATGCCAATGTGCTTTGCACACTCACATTCTATGTATTGTAAGGTATAAGAGTCGGCCGGATTTGACGGAGAACCGTTTCGCAGTACATCCTGAGCTTGGGGCTAGGTTGTACCGCACAGGGGACAGAGGCAAGTTGCTGGGTGACGGCTCAGTGTTCCTTGTCGGACGGATAGATCGGGAGGTCAAAGTACGAGGTGAGTAAACGCATCTAGTTTAAATATATAGTCTCGCTGAAATCAGTGTTTCATCCAGGGTATCGGTGAGTATCCATGGGCGACGTAGCCAAGACATTTAGCTGACATCCTTACAGTATCGAGCTAGACGACGTAGAGCGAACTATTACCGACGTTATGCCGGAGGTAACGGCAGTGTCAGTACAGCCCGACTCGTCGAGCACTTCGCTTTGGGCGTTCGTTTCGCCGGACGACATTGACGGAGATGTCCTGAGGAACCGTCTGACGGAGCGATTACCAGCGTACATGGTACCCTCCACCGTCTACGCTCTACCCCAGCTTCCCCTCAATATGAACGGCAAAGTCGACCACAAATCCATCGCTGCCAATATGGAATCGTTGATCGTTGAAGCTACGACATCTGGTAGTTCATCTTCGGCGACGCCATCACTTGTCTCATCGGGCTCTACAACTTGTCGGTCGCCTTCTACATCGTCGTGTTCCGATTCCAGGTCCGCTTCGCCTGCTATCACGTCTGCTGTTACTCGGATATGGCAAGATATCTTGGGTACGAAGGGACTCATCACCACCAGTGATAATTTCTTTGACCTGGGGGGTAATAGGTATGTACCGTGTGGTAGTCTTTCCACCCGTCACAATGCTCAGACCTCCCTTTACAGCCTTAGCGCCAATAAATTAGCTACTCAACTTCGCTCGGAGTTCTCCTCCAGTAACATCACCGTTCTGGATATCTTTTCGTCGCCGACCATACAAGGCCAAGTCGACTTACTCTGTGGAAGCGAACTGGACTCTTATGTACAGAGCAAGTTGGATTCGTACAAGCCTGTCATCCCGCAGCCCGTTCCATCGCCTCAGGCAGATGATATGGAAGACATCCAAATGAAGATAGCAGAGATTTGGAAGTCCGTTCTGGGATCCCGGAATGCGTTTACCTATGAGACCAACTTCTTTGACGCTGGAGGTCACAGGTAATGTCGCGTATAGCAGTTGAGATAAGTATGGCTATTCTCATAGTTCACCCCTCTACTCCAGTGTATCCGTCTCTCAAGTGCTACAAGGTCTTCAGAAGGAGTGGCCGTCAGTGAAGGTCGGGATAGTGGATCTTTTCCAGCACTCTACCATTTCAAGCATGGCAGCTCTAGTTGCGAAGTATCAGCCAGCATCTCAGCTCCCCGAAGTTCCAGACCCAGTATCTGTACCGAGGCTGGGTCGTGGTCGGACGAAGAGCCCTGCAAAAATCGTAGATTCGCAGGGCCGCAGTTCTCCCTCCACGATCCCTTCCGGTGGTCGCAAATCGGAGATTGCAATTGTCGGCATTTCAGGCCGCTTCCCGGGTGCGTCGAACCCCGACGAGCTCTATCGGCTCTTCAGGGACAGAAAGGAAGGTATAAGCGAACTCGAAGGGTCATCTGGAGTATTACCCTTCCCCGGCGCGATCTATGTACCGAGGCGGGGCGCGATCAAGGACGTGGAGTACTTTGACCCTGCCGCTTGGGGTCTGAAAGAAGATGAAGCTAGGTTCGTCTACAACGGTCTTCTATTGACCTAGATACTCATGAGAGTTCGTCTAGAAATATGGACCCACAGCAACGCCTTTTCATGGAGTCGACACTACGAGCGTTGCAAGACGCGAACCGTGTACCATCCATCCAAGGTACCAACAACATAGGTCTTTTTGTTGGCGCGGCTCGCGACACTTGGCAAGATGGTATGTTCAAACTTAGAACAGTACACGTTATTCTTCATCACTCAGCGTTGCTCAGCCACGGAAACGGTGTACGGAGACGAGTTCTATCGCACGCACCGCGCAGACTTGACGCCCTCCATATCTGCGCGTACCGCGTACCATCTCAATTTACAAGGTCCCAACGTGACTCTTAACACTGCTTGCTCGAGTGGGATGGTTGCTCTTTCCGTGGCTGTGGACCAGTTAAGAGCGGGCAGATGTGATATGGCCGTTGCTGGTGCTGTCGCGATTGCCTTCCCTCAGTAAGTTATTGGATATCTAACCGCTTCTAGTTGTTGACATAGTACTGTACACAGGGAGGGATACGTCACCGCCGAATCTCAAATATTCTCGCCCTCCGGTCATTGCAGACCATTCGACCACAGAGCAGATGGCACTCTTCCTGCAGACGGTGTTTGTGCACTAGTCCTTCGCCCCCTCGACGATGCGGTTCGAGACGGGGACAAGATCTACTCCGTCATATCCGGTATCGCGACAGGGTCGGACGGACGGCTAGATAAAGCTGGGGTCACGGCTCCCAGCCCGCGAGGCCAAGCTGACACCATTGAACGTGCTTGGAAAGACGCAGGGATTCCAATGTCGAAAGCGGTCTATGCTGAGTGTGTTGTTCGACCCTTTTTATCCCTTTCTACGTAGCTGAGCGCGTACGTCGTCAGGTTGCATGGCAGTGGCACTCCTATCGGCGATGCTCTAGAGCTCGAAGGTTTTCAAATGGCCCGTTCAAGACTTGGCGCTGCGAACAACCGCTGCACGGTTGGGTCGAATAAAGGGAATCTCGGGAACTGTGAAGTACGTTCTCTGACCCGTCATAATAATTGCCCCCCATTGAGCCCTTCATCGCAAAGGCTGCTTCAGGACTGGTATCTGTCATCAAGATGTGCAAGTCGATGCAGTACGGTGTCATACCTCCTGTTCAGTCTCTGGAACGTGTCAATCCTCTCATCAATCCGTCGCTTCCGTTCGACATAGCTCAAACGGATCTTCCGTTGTCTGACGATGCCGTCGTCTGCGTCTCAAGTACTGGGCTGGGTGGAGTCAACGCTCACTGTGTGCTGCGATCCCCACCCACTACAGTCCGGCGGTCGCCGCAACCTTCCCGTTCGACAAGCACTCAACCGAGGGGCAAACTCCTCACTGCCCCTCCACGAGTCTCGCTTTCGCCTACCTCTGATATCGATATCGGCCAAATCATAGCCGTCTGCGCTTCTCAAGTTTTGGGTAGTGAAGTGGGAAAGGACGCAGACCTCCGAGCTGCAGGTTTAGACAGCACCGGTCAAGTTCGTCTCATGCGCCTTCTCGCGGATGCACTGCCTTCTGCCCCACTGAGGTACGTACTCTCCACTCGGCCTGTTGTTCTTTCTAACTTGCGGATCAGCATGAGTGCATTCCTGGGCGACTCCCTGACTCCAGAGGTCCTGGCCAGCAGATGCTTCAATGCCGCCACGAACCCTTCTCCGCCTTCTGTCGGAGGCAATGGCAAATTACCTCCTTATTTCACGCTACTCCGATGTGGCGAGATGAGCGAAGTGTACGCTCTGCTCGCCCCTGCTGGGGGGAGCTGCGGCTCGTACATCGACTTATGCCGACAACTCCCGCCTGGAGGTGCCGTGATCGGCGTTGAGCATCCCAATCTGAATCTCAACGCCAGCGGGCCTACACCGGCAACGCCATACTCCGTCAGTGAGCTCGCCGATAGATACGCGGACGACCTGGCGCGCATTGGCGTGAAGGAAGTAGTGCTAGTAGGCTCGTCGTTCGGGGGTGTCGTGTGCGTCGAGCTGGCCAGACTTCTACTGCAAAAGGAAGCAATGACTGTGAAGGGTGTTGCGCTCCTGGATTCACCGTGGCCGAGTATGGATGTCGCGGTGGAAGCTCTGACGTGGCGCGCCTTCTTGCGCAACCTCTTCGACGTGACAAGTGCTGAAGCGGATGCCCAAATCGGGCCGGGATCAGCGCTCGAGATGTCCTTGAGTGCGCATGCAGCGGCTGTCGAAACCCTCACGGCCGAAATTACTGCTGCGCTAGCACTCGTCGATGGCAGTCAGAGGGCCGCGGTGGAGAGGCGGGACTGGAAGAAGCTGCTGACTATATACGCCGAGAACGTTCTCGCGTTGGGCGAGTACTCGCAGCAAGGTCCGATACCTGGTCTTGAGACACGAGCCCCTTCTCTATATGTCCGTGCCGGCTCGCGCAGCAGCGAGCATGTGGATAGCTGGGGAGGTGTGTTGGAAGGTATGAGAGTAGAGGAAGTGGATGGTGGTCATGCTGGGGTATGCAGCGGCGAAAGAGCCGGCAGGGTTGCGGCTTTCCTGGCGGAAATGGCCGCGTAGAACTGGAGAAATACATGTATTACTACGGGAGGACGGATCCAGGACCCTTTTGGTTTTATTGTGATATTATAATCCCTCGGTTATGAATTCATAGCTTAGCATGAACATGACTGAACTAGGCTGGCAAAGTGGCATCGCGTTGCCAGCGCAGGGCGACCACTGTTTCTCAGTAAGTGCTCTCAAGCTCGGCGAGAGGACTGAAGATAAGATCAGCATAGGATTATGTCATGTCGAGTACCAGTATAGTTATGTCTTGAGTGTTTCTCTCATTCATTTTGCTTTCCTGGAGAATCGTGAGACGCAGTATAACCGGAAACGGTAATCCTACTACCGCAACGGGTACATGTCTTTCATACCCGATTGACAGCCACATCGCCTGAATCTCGGTATCGTCCCCTAGAGGCCGCCAACGTACTGTAGGTTGCATTAACACGGTAGCTCGTGACTTAGTAGCACCAGGTATGGGATCCTCCGTCCGCCGATATGGGAAGATGAATCCTAATATTCATCTCCGATTTATGCAAGACTGAGCAGAACAAGGCCATAAAAGTCTACGCAGCTCTGACAGAGGTCGCCAAAGACCCTCTAGATGATAGGCGTCCCTTCAACATCTCCTACATGGCACCATTCACTTTGTGCGGGGCCACAGAGATCTTCCACTGCTCTAATGCTGCCTCGTCCGCAGCTTCTATGCGCTCCTCTTCTCCCTTCTCCGAGCCCCTCCCCTCCCAATAGTACTTTAAGTCCTCTATGGAAAAGTCGGACCACCGCCGGTAGCCGTACTCGTATACCTCAAGCCTTTTGAGGCGCAATTCTGTCATGAAAGTTTTGAAGACGGGATGCCACAGGGTCTTCCGTGAACCGCCATACGCATCTCCCGCATTTTGGAACTTCATCTTCCCTTGGTCATCCTCCGCGTCTGTATCCTCATCCGACGAAGGCTGGTCTCCATTCAGACTTGATACCTCGAGCTAGACCATAGAGCACCTCTTCAACTTGAGACTCTGCAGGGTATTTTTATGGCGACAGATGAAGGCTTCTAAAGGGGTGTTGGAGCCAAACACCATTCCGCCTAACTCCAGGTTCCTGAGGTGAGGAAAGTGGAGGTCTTCGACAGGAAAACCTGGTCTCCAGGTTCCCGCTACCGCGTTACAAGAGTCGACGGACAATGTTACAAGGCTGTTTTGCAACGGGTCAAGGTAGCAGTACACCACGTTAAGCCAAAAGCATTCGAGCCCCAGATCAACTTGGGGTAAGAAGGATAATCCCCGTACATGTCGGACTGCGCGTGCAGCGCGAGCAAAGTAAGCGGTTTCTTCCATTTGGGGAGCTCCAGGCTCTCGCCATCGTTGTCTCTGGAACGGGCTTTCAGATTACTAAGAGCTAGTTCGGTGAGCTGCGGAGGGGGTTCTCTATGATAGTTTGGAGTAGGTCTTGCTCGAACGACGAGGACTCGAAGTCGTCTTTGTCCACCGGTTCCGGGAAGGTCGGAAGGAAATCAGTTGTGGTGCGAGCCTCAGCTTCGAGAACGCGTCTACTAAGGCCTCCTCGACCTCGTATTCTGTAACAAGAGGCGATAAGTGATATCTCGAGAAGGGAAGAGCGTCCGCGTAATATACAACCTGGTTCCTTGACTTCTCTGTAGTACGCCAAAGAGACGTCTGTAATGTAGGAAGCGAAGGACGGCACGCGTAATACTCTGCCCAAAGCCAGGGCGTCTCGCATTGAACCTCGAACGCGCACTTTGCAGAACAGTTCTAGCCATACGAGATGGAACACCTCCACTGGCAGGCATATAAGGGCAAAGTATGAACGTGGCTGAGCTTGGAAACGTTCTTGCTCATCCGCGCCGAGTCACATAAGTGCAACTATGATAGTCCGTTGTACTATGCCTTGCGAAGTCGAATGAGACCTCCGTGCGCCCTAAGTATGTCTTCCCAAAACTTAGAGCAGTGTCTATTTCCAGCAATCGGCGAAACGATAGAGAAGTTTGAGATTTTCCGCACTCAGCAGCCGCTCCACGGCTTACTTATTGGAGTAGGGTATCACCAATCTTGCTCCGCTAATGCTGTGTCCTGATCAAAACAAGAGTGGTGAGTCATGGTGCACTGTGGACCCGAGTGGGTTATAATTACCTTTCCGGGCTCGGCTGCCTGCGTGAAAAATTCTGAAAGTTCTCTACAGTTAGTGTTGCTCCTGCAGTGAAGTTGCAGTGTTGCACAGTGGAGTTTTTGACACTTCAACCCGAGTGAAGTGAAGTTGAAGGCGCTTCAATGTCTTCATTGAAGTGGGCAGATCAGCCACGGAATATCCCGTAATATTCCCACATACGTGTGGTGAAGGCACTGACTTGTCCTCGTAGGACGAACTCGGGGATATCTGCATATACATTGTACTCTAAAATACACTAATAATGCCCATACCATCTGCCAGGACGTACGATACCAAAAGTCAAGTCGACACCTTGTCATATGGACTCCTGACGAATTTCTTGAGCCCAGTGCAAACTGCCAGCATATCATGGAGGCTATCTGCCACAGCCATTCTATTGTTATCTCTGCACGGGGTATGACGCGGAGTAGATGCGACTCTGCGACTCGGACACCACTTGGACGCAGGGCGAGCGCGTCTGGTGGCGCGCGCTGCCATTAA